GTGCACACAAGTAATTCCAGCTACTTGGTAGGCTGAGGCAGGAGGACTGTAAATCTGAGGCTAGCCTGGGCAAATTTACCATCCAAAAATGCTACATCCCTAGCATTTTTCTATAGTAGATTCCCAGTGGGCTTCCCTGTCTCCACTGCTTTCCCTTCGATTTGTGCCTGCATATTAGTAATAAATAAACCTGTCAGAGAGCTTGGGCATAAGGCCACGCCTGTACTCACAGCATTCTAGGACTCTAGCATGGACTGACACTTTCAAATCTTCTCTTCTTCTCCCTACCCCATGCTTACTGTGGAGTAAATTGCTCATTAGTCCCCCGCACACCCACAACTATTCAGGAATACAGCCTGGTGATTAAAGGTTCAGATTTTGAAGACAGGTTTTGAATTCTAGTTCTACTTAATATTAACAACAGAATAAATTATTTTACCATGTGCATCTATGCAGTCAGGTTACAAATAACACCACATACTTTGGAGTCAACTCCGATTCAAATACCAGCTCTACCATTTAGTAACTTTGGGGTCCTAGCAAGTTCCTCTATCTCTCTGGACCTCCGTATTTTTATCTCTAAGACAGTAACAAAAGCCTATGCCATGGGGTTATTGTGAGGGTAAATGGTATTACTTGGGCCGGGGTATAGCTCAGAGTCAGAACTAGCTACTAACTATAGCGTGGTATAGGCTCTGGGTTCAACCCCAGGACCACAAGGGAAAAAAAAAAGAAAAAGATAAAGACCCAGTACCGAAGTTGGCACATAATAAACTATTGATAGGAGTTAATATATATATTTGGTACTTGGCATTGAACCCAGGGAGCACTGAGCTGTACCTCCAGCCCTTTTTATTTATTTTTTAAATTTTGAGACAGGGTCTTGCTGACGTCAGCTGAAATTACATGTGTGCACTACCACACTCACCCGATACAAGTTACCAGTATTACTGTTATTGATTTCTTCTGTGACTCTGCTCATGCAGTTCCAGAATGTACCACTCAACCAGCTCTCCTTTTCAAAGCAAAATAGTATGAATATAAAAACCACAGACTCTGAAGCTGCGCATGGAAGCTCACATAATCCCAAATACTCAGGAGACTGAGCAGGAGGATCCCAGGTTCAAGGATAGACTGGGCAATTTAGTAAGATCCCATCTTTAAAAAAAAAAAAAAAAAGAAGAAGAAGAAGAAGAGGAAGAGGAAAGAAAAAGGCTCTGAAATCAATCTGAACTTAAATCTAGACTCTGCTACTTACTATCTTATTACCTTGAGCAAGTTACTGAGCCTTTTTGTGCCTGTGCCTCTGTTTCCTCACCTGTAAGATGAAGAATGTAAGAATAACAATTTCACTGGATTGTGGTAAAGACTGAATAAGCACATGTAAAACACTTTAGCATTGGCGCTGGCAGTAATGGTGCTTCATGCCTGCTCGTTGTGACTATCTCAAGTGCCTTCACTAACATGAAGTCTTTAATGATCAAGCAGATGAAATCTTTTTTCCTTCCTTAGAGGCCCAATGCATTCTGTCAATCTCTCTTCTATGAAAAATTCCATCTCATGTTATACTCACTCGGTCATTCATGCACCCATGCACTACACACCTACCTGAATACTAGAGACCACGCGATAAAGCGATCACAGTCTCTGGGATTCTAGCACAGTGCATGTGAGGGCGTGTATCTATAGACATCCTCCAAAGCCTCTGCAATCACAGCGGGGCTTTTCAGAGGTAGTGGATATAAAGTGTGCAATGCTAGGATCAAGGATGTGATGCTGCAATGGATTTATGGTGTGATTTTTGGATTAAGGGTGCCTCACTCTTGGTACGAGTGCTACCTGCCCTATAGGAGCAGAAAGAGGGTCACTGTTGCTTGTTGCTGCTGCTATTTCACTGCTTGCTGCCTTCTTGCCTTGGAGCCAGCTGACTATAGACCGAACTGACCTTTCCTCCTTTAACTTGGTGGGTCAGGTATTTTGTCTCAGCAATGAGAAAAGTAACTAAGACAGTACACTACCTAGATCAGAGGCAGACAAACTACAGTCCCTGGGCCAGGTGCCTGTTCTGTCACATTTCAAGGGAACATCTGTACTCACTTGCTTACATATTGTCTATGGCTGCCTGTGAGGTACAATGAGATAAGTAGTTGCAACACAGATCCCACGGCCCAAGGCTCTACAACATTTATAATCTGGCCCTTTAAGAAAATGTGTGCCAATCCCCGGGCTAAATTGCAATCTCTGTAGGAGAATGAGTATGTCTTTCCCACCCAGACTTCACTGCCATAATCAACACAGAGGCTTGATGCTTATAAAGTAAAATCAGCCATCTACATGACAAATACGCAGTTATGTTTTTATCCAGGTATTTATTTTATTTTATTATTATTTTTTTCCCCCGGTACCGGGAATCGAACTCATGACCTTGCGCTTGCCAGGCAGGCGATGTGCCACTGAGCTAAATCCCCAGCCCCTCAGGTACTTATTTTAAATAATACATGGAACAGTTCAGTCCTGAGTCATACCAGATAGCACTACATTCTGTTACCCAACAAAAGGTAAGTCTCATAATGTTGCTGCTTGAGAAACATACTTTTCATAAATCATCAAGAATAAATTTCCTTTTCAAAATGCCATTATTAAATATATTTTAAAACAGTAAAATGAAGAAAAATATCACTTTTTATTTTGGTTTTTGTTTGTTTTTCATTTTGAGACAGGGTCTCATATGTGGTGCTGGCCTTGAACTCGCTCATGTAGCCCAGGCTAGCCTTGAACTCACAGCGATCCTCCTGCCTCAGCCTCCCATGTGCTGGGATTACAGGCATGCACCACCACACCTTTTATTTTGGTTTTTAAAAATAAGGTCTCATCCGGGCAGGAGGATCACTGTGAGTCAAAACCAGCCTGGGCTACAAAGTGAGCTCAAGGCCAGCCTGAACTGCATAGTGAGACCCTGTCTCAAAAAGACAAAAAAACAAATAAAGACAAGGTCTCACTATGTAGTACAGGCTGGCCTTTAACTCATTATATAGCCCAGGTTGGCCTCAAACATGAGGTGGTCCTCCTGCCTCACTCTCCTGAGGACTGGGATTACAGGCATGTGCCACCACATCCAGCTAATATATCATCTTTATAGTTCCCAAATTATAACATCCCTTAAACAAAGGACACCCTTTATACTTAATGGAATAGCTATATGGCTTCCTTTAACCTCCACTTAAAAGTTTCTCCCATAATTCAATACTGAATAATGATAATAACAAGAGGTCTGCTACAAAGAAATGAGCACTAAATCTAAAAACAGAAGGCCTGAGTCTTCCTAGCCTCCCCGTTATTAGCTACAAAATCACGAGCAAGACACTGAATCTCTATATGACTCCATTCTTTCTTATTTTTTTTCATTTTGTTTTTTGAGAAAGGGTCTCAATAGGTAGCCCAGGCTGGCCTTGAACTCATGATCATGATCCTCCTGTCTCAGCCTCCTGAATGCTGCATTTACAGGAGTGTGGCACCATGCTTGGCAACTTCTTCATCTTTTGAGTGGGGATAATAATGATGACAGAGCACAGCAGTGTGGATATTCTGTAAACTATAACCAATGCAAGTTCTTTTTTCTGACAGAGTCATTACTTTTACATAATTCTCACTACACCAAATAATAACATACAACAAATTCTTGAGTCCTGCTCACTAGTCATTTAGATTAAGATAAATTAAGCACAACTGAAGCTACAATACAGTGTATTCACTGCTCTGACCCTCTGTCAAGGCTGGCTGCTGTTTCCTACCAGTTACAAACAACTATTTACCATAGATAAAGCCTTGGACCTTCAAGAAAATGCAAGGGAAAAAATTTTATTTAACCCCTTTCTTTTTCAAAGAACTGGGTTTTTCCCCCCTACCAAACCTAAGAAAGAAAAATTCCACACTGATATATAGTATATGCTGCTTGAGCTAAAAAGCCAACAGAGAATATATACTCATTTCTAAGAAATATAAGGTAACAAATAAAGCTTTTAGATAAGCACTGAATTTGTACAAAGAAGCTAAATATGCCACTCTTCAAAAAGCAAAGGGATCTACCATAACATATACAGAAATAATTTAATGCGCTTCATGAGACTAGAACTCAACTTTGCTAGAGCTTCGTATCCCAGAAGGGTATCTCCAATGCCAATCCAGGAACGGGCACTTCTCTTTCTCCTATTCATCTGTGCCACAGTTTTCATGGATTTCTGGCCAGAGACGCGGACAAAGGCCAAGAGGTAACCCAGTACTTTCCCCTGTTCTGCCAGAAGCAGGGCTGGAAGACAGCCACCCTCTCCCTGGTCTCCTCCTCCACTTCGGTCCTGCTGCTGTGATGAGGCCCCCGGGCTGCAGCTTCGTGGCCTTGAAGCTCCTTCTGTACACACAGGCAGTAAGTACTGTGCAGCCTCACTTCCTGCCCGCTTCAGTCTCTAGTCCTCTCACTTTGCGATTGCTTCTCAGACTCCAACAGCAGCTGGGTACCCTAAGAGGGACCAACCATGGCTGCGGAAACTGAAGCCAAGGCAAGTGGCCCAAAATGGCATGATGGCCTTTTAGGTCGACTAACCCACAGCTCCGGGTCTGCACTTCTATAACCAGTGTACATTCTCAAGCAAACAGCTATGAAAATGTGTCAACCAGGTATCAAGAAGGCCAGAGCACTAAATTTGACAGAGTAGGGTTAGCATCCTTTAAAGCAATCTTACACAAGGATATGACTTTTTGTTCTGTTTTATTTTGTTTGTTTATTTTTTTAAAACAGGATCTTGCAACGTAGTTCAGCATGGCCTCAAATTCATTATGTAACCCAGGCTGGCCTCAAAGCGATCCTCCTGCCTCAGCCTCCTGTGTGCTGTTATTACACGCATGTGCCACTCTACCCAGTCAATGAAAGATATTTTAACTAGTAAGAAATGACTTGAGACAGATTTCTAAAATTTTAAGCTTTAAGTGTTAGAGTTATTACTTGCCTGTTGAATGGAACATCTTGAAGGATCCGGTCACTGCAAAGTGAAAGGAGGCAATTCTTCTGTAACTAAAGAAAAGGAAGGGGACAATCTGAATAAAATAGCACTGTTTTGTTTTTTTTTTTCCTGTTTGGGGAATGAAACTCAGGGTCTTAGGTAAGTGTTCTACTACCAAATATACCCACTGCTAGTAACACAGCATCAAGGAATTCTAGCCAACCTGCTTTAAAGATAATCTGACTCTAGGGCTGGGGATATACCTCAGTGGCACAGTGCCTGCCTGGCAAGTGCAAGGTCATGAGTTCAATGCCCAGTACCAAAAAAAGACAATCTGACTCTAACTTAAGAGTATAAGGAACAAGTAGTCTATATTTTCACCTTGAAATAAACGCTGATAGTCTTGGATCTTTTTTTATTATTAAAATGAAAGTTGCTGGATGTGTTAGCACGCACCTGTAATCTCAGCATTCAGGAAGCTGAGGCAGGAGGATCGCCACAAGTTTGAGGACAGCCTGGACTATATAGTGAGTTCAAGGCCAGCCTGAACTATATAGTGAGACCTGCCTCAAGAAAATTAAAAATATTTTTAAAAAAATTTTAAAGTGACAGTTTATCACAGAAAAGAAGTATGGCAGGCTACCCCATCAGCAGACTAGGCTAGTTAGGAAGCAGAGCAGCCCCAGAAAAAATAAAGTTAGCTACTCCACATAGACAGAGGGAAGTAAAAAATAATTTTAGATCAATCAAATAAGAGTAAGTAAAAATACGGATCATTCACCAACCAGTAAAAATAGGTTCAGTCCCTAGTACTGCAAAAAGAAAAGAAAAAGTACACTATCATAACGGAAGAGTGATTCAGGTTACTATATTCTTATGAATCAAAATCGTAACTTTAAGGCATGGCTTTAAAAAAATGTCATAGTATACATTATTAGCTTTTTAACTTGGAAAATTGCTTTTTAATATTTTAAAAAGCTTTCCAGATTCCATTGGAAGTTCTTTTCTTATCTAGAGAAAACCTAAAATAAAGGAGCTCAATCATAGAAAACAAAATCCAGATTAATGGGATATATAAAGCTAGTTAAAGCCAGGCTTGGTGGCGCACACCTGCAATTCCAGCACTCAGGAGGTTGATGCTATAAACACTTGTGTACAGGCACATGCCACCACGCCTTCCTAGAAGGACTATTTGCATAAGCATTCACATGTGCTTACCTGCTGGTGATTGGGAAAATGTTCCATGGCTTTGAGTAGCAGATGGGTCACATCAGCCAGCAGTCGGACAGGCATTCCTGCAGCAAGATCCTGCTTGGTTAGGTTAAATACACAGGCGCTTGCAGCTAGTTGCACTGGTAAATTCATAGGGTGATTTCTCATCCCAGTAACCACAAGCTGGAAAAAAAATTAGCCTTCTTAACTCACCTCATAAATACAACCCATCTTCATAGGGCAACATTACTCTACTGATCTATAATTTTCTTTTTTTTGTTTTTTGTTTTTTGAGACAGGGTCTCACTGTGCAGTCCAGGCTGGCCTTGAAGTCTCAGCAATCCTTCTGCCTCAGCCGCTTGAGTGCTGGGACAGCAGGAGTGCACCACCACACCCAGCTCTGATCTATTATAATTTTAAAGATGTCTCAAGTAACTCCTCCATCCTCATGTACAAGGAGCCTAACACATTAGCAGTTACAAGTGAGCAAAATGAATAAATGGATCTTTTCTACATAGTGCTCATTTTTGTATTCCTAAGACCTGGTAGAGGGCCTTTATGCGGAACACAATGAATAACAAGTGCTCGCTGACTTGAATAGGGTAAACTGGTGGCAAATTTCACTTTCAACTCCCAACCTTCCTTTCCTTGAGAACACTGCTGAAGTTAGACTGTGACAAAATTCATTCACCTCTCCACGCCTCCCCCTTTGTCTCTTCCTCATCCACCCCACATCCTTACCAACTTGTCATTATCTTCTGAAGGCCTCACATTTTTAAAAATTCAGTCTTCTTATAACAATTTGAGATATAATTCACATACTGTACAGTTCACACAGTATGTAACTCCGTGGTTTCTAATATAGAACATGGGGCTGTGCCACCATTACTAAGATCAACTCTACAATATTTTTATTACCCCCAAAGAAACACTATGCTCGTTAGCAGTCAACCCATTTACTCTCAACCATAAGTGACCTCTAATCTTTATACATAGGTTTGCTTGTTCCGGCATTTCATATGAGTGAAATCATATAATGTGCGGCCTTTTGTGTCCAGTTCCTTATTGCTTCTCGGCGTTCTGGCTAAGATCAAGTGTGTCCAGTTCTTTTCACTTAGTATGTTTATAATTTTCATCTATATTATAGCACACATCAGTACTTCATTTTTTTATTTGCCAGATAATATTGCATTGAATAGATATAACATAGTTTGTTTATTCATTTATTAGTTGATAGGCACTTGGGTTGTATCAGTTTTTGGCTGATAATGAAAAACGATGCTATAAACATTTGTGTACAACTTTTTGTGTAGACATCCTTTCACTGATCTTGGTTATACACCAGCAGTGTATAAAGTTTCAATGTTTTTGCATTCTCACCAGTACTTGTTATTATCTGTTTTATGATAGCCATTCTATATAACTGAGATTCTATATAACTGAGGGTTATAAAGTATATCTCATCATAGTATGATTTGCATTTCCTGATGGCCAATGATGTTGAGAATCTTTTCATGTGTCTATTGGCTTTTTGTATATCTTTGGAGAACTGGCAATTTAAATATTTTTTCCATTTTTAAATTGGGTTATAGATCTTTTTATTATTGAGCTATAACCGTTTTTTTATATATTCTAGATACATGTTCCTCCCTGACCTGATGTATGATTTATAAAAATTTTCTCTCATTCCGTGGGTTTTTGTTTTCTGGATAGCGTCTTTGGAAGCACAAAAGTTTTTAATTTTCATTATGTCCAGTTTATTCTTTTCTTTGCTGTCTTTGTTTTTATTGCCCTTTATGTAAGATTCCATTGCATAATACAGGGTTGTGAAGATTTATGCCAATGTTTTCTTCTAAGATTTTTTATAGTGTTAGGCAAAGGTGAGATTTAGGCAGTGAGTGCCTTTTTAGTTAATTTTTATATTTGGAAGACCTCACTTTCAACAACACTAAGAAAGCAAATAGAACCAAGAATCACTTCAAATCCTCACTCCGCCACATACCAGCCCCTTAGCAGCACACGAACATCTACTGCCCCTTTGGGACTTCCCATAAATGAGTTTTCTTGGGCTCCTCTCTGGAGCTGCCCTCCTCTTACAGTACTGGAACTGAAGGCAGAGCCTCGGGGATGCCAGGCCAAGTGCTCTGCTCAGAGGTGCACCTGCAGGCCTGAGTCCACCTTTTATATACTCGATCATTCCCTTCTTGTCTATTGCAGGGCACCTGCTGATGTCTCCCTTAACTCCTACAACAATTTTTTATTCTGTACTGGGTCATTCATATCAGCATACAAATAAGCAGTTTTTCTCCCAGCTTCAAAAACAAAACAAAAACTCTTTTCTTTTGTTTTTTTTCTTTTGAGACAGGGTCTCGCTATGCAGTTCAGGCTGGCCTTGAGCTCACTTTGTAGCCCAGGCTGGTCTTGAACTTGCAATGATCCTCCTGCCTCAGCCTCCCAAGTGCTGGGATTACAGGTGTGCACCACCATGCCTGGCCTCATGTTATGGTTTATATCTAAAATGTTCCCCAAAACCTCACATGCCCGTAGGTGGGGCTTCTGGGAGGTGACTGGATGAGTCTATTGATGGGTTTATAGCGGGGTGTGATACTGGGAGGTAAAGCCTGGCGGGAAGTGGTGGATCACCATGGGTGAGGGTCTCCCTCTCAACCCCACTCCTCTCTTGATCTCTCTCCTTCTTGCATGCTCCGCCATGAACTCTTTCTCTCCTCTGTGAGAGCTCTGTGAGCTCTGCCATGCTCTCTTGACTTGAAGCTACCCAACTATGGACTGAAACTTCTACAAACTGTGTGCCAAAATAATCCACACCTCCTTTAACGTGCAGATGTTGGGTACTGTGTCCCACAGCGGGAAGTAGCTAAGACATACTGCCTCAGCTTCTTGAATAGGTGGAATCAGAGTGGCATAAATATGCTTTTGAAGTAAGCACTATTCTAGTGGTCAACAGACCACATTTTGATAAACACTACCCTAAGCAATCAACAAAATTAAGAATTCCCTTTCTTGTCCTTCAAAAAACAATTTCGGTTAAATGGGAAATAACATGAATCAGTTATAAAAGCACAGAAAGCTCGTAAGGGGCATGGAAAAGTACCTTACAGACTTCTAACACTGTATTTCTAAAAAGACTAAGTGGAAAGCAATACAGGGTTAACATACATGGCAATGTATGGATTCCAATTATACTTGCATTTTCTGCTATAGCTGGTGATAAAATATCTTGATGATCACTGATTTTAGGTAATTAAGTATGTAGTAGAAAGTATTAACATTATTTAGTCAGATTACTTTAAAACCTCAAAAACACTATGCAACTGTCTTCTGTCATTTAAACTAATAACTGAAATCACAGATTGTCACTCACTTTATAAATAAAAATCAAAGACTAAACGCAAATTTTGGGAGGAGCACCATGAGTCGAACTCAGGACCTTGCACTTCCTAGACAGACACTGCTGCTGAACTATAGCCCCAGCCCACAGATTTTGTTATACAATTATCATCTACCAGGGAGAGGATTTCAAAGTTTTAATAACCAATTTCTTATTCTTACCTTTAAAATTTCTGGCTTTGTTTTCTCCATCACATGAGTCAGGCTAAAAAGGTGAAAGAGAGCTTCTCGGACAAAAAACGCCCGTTCACTGTACCGCTTCAGCGCTTCTGCAATCTGAGTCTCATTGGCTTCTCCAGAGACCTTTGAACACAGCCAAGAGATTAACTTCCAGGATTCTTTTCAACCCTCTAACTAAACACCAACTATAAAGATGAATTATCTAAACACCATAAAGATGGCATCCAGGATAGTTATGTAAGATTTATAATAAATGGGAATTATTACTTTGATCCCAATCAGAATAGTCATCTGAGAGCTATTAGAAAGGCTCAGAATCTAGCATAGGCCTAGAGGTAAAATTTTCTACATTGAACCTAAAATAAACTCAATATATTTAACACTATTCCTAAGACTTTACCATGTCATTAGGCTCTTGTCTGCCCCACCATCCCTTTTTTGAACAGTCTTGTTTTTTGTTGTTGTTGTGTTTTTTGTTTTTTTGTAGTTTTTTTGTCTTTTTGAGACAGCATCTCACTATGCAGTTCAAGCTGGCCTTGAGCTCACTTTGTAGCCCAGACTGGTCTCAAACTTGCAATGATCCTCCTGCCTCAGCCTCCTGAGTACCAGGATTACAGGCATGTGCTGCCACACCTGGCTGAACAGAGTCTTGTTAAATTGCCCAGGTGGGCCTTGAACCTGCATCCTCCCATCTCATCCCACAAAACAGCTGGGATCACAGACACAAACCACCACAGCCAGTTTCCCATCTGCCTTTTTCTTTATTTATTTAGCGGTACTGGGGACTGAACCCAGGGCCTTGGCACTCAGCTACATCCCTAGCCATTTAGCTTTTTACTTTGGGACAAGTTCTTCCTATTTGTCTTTTAAGGTAATCCCTTTCCCATAGCTCAAAATGTTACAGCTACACTTTCTTTCTTTCTTCCTGATCTTTCAATAAGCTAGGCTCTTTCTCAGCAAAATTTGACTATATATACTATCTACTCTCACTGAAACCATTCGTTCTCTATTTATTTGACTAATTCCTTTTACCCTTGCTAGCTCAGGTTACACGCTTCTTTATCAAAGCCTTCCTCGACTCACTACTCTAATTGGGGTCTCCTCAAACATCTCTTTCATGGCTCTTATCATAATCGCCCCGTTGGACTAACCTATTCACCCATTCATCTTACCCCAACAGCTAAGATTATGCTTAGTTCAGAAAAAGCACTAAATATTCACCAAATAAATTTATTAATTTCCCCAGATTTATCAAACTCCCTAAGAGGTTCTGTTCAAAATTAAGTCTATCTGTATGAGTTTTCCATTTAGACAAATAATATAGCCATCCTTAAACTATAGTTCAGATACCACTGGATAACCAAATGTAAATAATGGGAAGTGGCTCTTTAATCCAACTAGTAAGTAAAAATTAAATAATGAAAATATCACTATAATACCCAATAACTTAATAGATCTAGGTACTGAACACCAATAACTGCTAACACCACAGAAAAAGAAACAACTCCCCATTACGTTCCCCCCAATGAAAGAGCACAACACCTAAGGGCCCTGCAAATAAAATAAAATAAAATAAAATAAAATAAAATAAAATAAAATAATAAAATAAGGACCCTGCCAAAGGGATTAAACACTATTCTCATTACACCTCCAAATCCAGCTAGCAATTTGCAGGAAACACACAGAAATATGTGCCACAAGCACCCATAAGCAATGAAGTCCAAACGGAGGAAAATGCTCCAAGTCCAAAGGACTTGATTCTTCAACAGACAAGTTTTAAGGAAAAGAAAGGGATGAGGAACGAACTGCAAGTCATATTGAAAATTTTAAAACAGGCAAGATTAACCAAAGTTTCTGCAGATAGACATCTGGATCACGAAACTATAAGGAAGCGCAAGGACATAATTATTACTAAAGTCAGACCACAGGTTACGTTGTGAAGGAAAGAGTCATGCACAGAACGGCACACAGGCCTGAGGTAGCCGACAGTGTCCCAAGTGATGGTCTTGAGCATGTTGGCTTTATTTTCACTCGTTAAGCTGTATAATTGCTACTTATCATCTATGTATCTGTTTTATTTTACAAAAAGGTAAAAACATGCATAAAAAAGTGTCATTCAGAGAGACAGACTCTCCATAAGGGGTAAGAGTTAGTCTTTTCTGGCAATCCCACTCTACAGGGAAACACAAAAAAGATCAAACACTTAAACTAGGTACCTAGGTTTTGTATAAATATACATTATTCATATAGGAAACTAAAACTCTGAGGAAATGAGAGGATGCTATCAGGGCTCACACTACAAGCACTGATATGATATTCTACAAAGGTCTAGCTCTAAAATGAACTAGACTACAATATCGTTTAACAAATGACATGGGACACACAGGGATAATTTTTAAAGGTTGTAGAAATAACAATGGAAGTATCTTTACAATATGCTTCTTCTTTTTTTTTTTTTTTGAGACAGGGTCTCACTTTGTAGTTCAGGCTGGCCTTGAACTCTGTGTAGCCCAGGCTGTCCTCAAACTCATGGCAATCCTCCTGCCTCAGCCTCCACAGTGCTGGGATGACAAGAATGCACCACCATGCCCAGCTCTAACAAAATGCTTCTTGAAGTTTCTATTTATGTATAATATACATAAATACAAATTGATTCTGATTATACATTCTCATATATAAACAGTTACTGAGTAATAAATGTTTTCAATTTGTTCAGTTCTTTTGGAATCACCTTGAACTTCCTTACAGATTTGGAAAGACACTGAAATGTGAAGTGAAAAAAACTGTGAGAGAGAAAAATACAAAGTAATCTCAGCCTTCAGTTACTGGTATTCCAACCACTTTATAAATCCCATATGCAATACAGCTTGAAGTTATTTTAAATATAAAATTTAAGAACTTTTTGTCACTGAAATGTTAAGTACTCTAATGTCATTAGCTAGGTACTTTATTTAGTGATGAAGACATCTCTAGCTAGTGATAAACTTTCAAATCAAGCAGTCTGGCATCTCATACTGTAAGTGTCTTCAATCAATATCAATTGATTAAAAAAAGTATCTGTACATTCTAGTTTTTGCAGTTTCCAACAGAAAACAGGCAAGACATGAAACAAACACGCAAAATAAGGACCAAAATGTGTAATAAATATTGTGAAATATGAAGAAAATGTTCACATGGAAAGGGGAACTAGAGGGGGGGTAGAAAGGGAAAAGAAAAAAATGAGAAAAGAAGGAAAAATGGAAACAAAGCTTTTGTAAGTAAGGAGGGAAAGAGGGAAGGGGAATGGGAAAAGAAAGAATCAAGTTATATCATGTACAGGTGCAAATTCCCTATGATGAATGTGACTATTATGTATACCTAAAATGTTCCAATAAACTTAATAAAATTGAAAAGAAAACAAATATAAAAATCAAGAACATTCCTTGCACCAACAATGAATCCACAGAGAAATAAGAAAAATAATACCATTCATAATAGTTTCAAAAAAATTAAACATTTATGAATTAACCTAACAAAGGAAGTGAAAAGACCTTTGTAATAATGTAATGAAAACTACAGTACCCTGAAAAAGATCAAAGACAACATCAGAAAATGGAAAGAGATCCCCTATTCCTGGGTAGGCAGAACCAATACTGTCAAAACGGCTAACTGACTAAAAGACAGTTTCAATAATCTCTTTAAAAAAAAAAAAAGTTATGTTCAACAATGATTCTTAACTTTGGTTGATTATTATACTTACCTAAGAAATTTCTAAAGATACTTATAGTGGGGGTTCACTAGCACACACCTGTTATCCCACCATTCGAGAAGTTGAGGCAGGAGCAGCACCACAAATTTAAGGCCAGCCTGGGCTACACAGTGAGACCCTGACTCAAAAAATCAAGTGAATAAATAAAAATAAAAATATCCATGCCAGGGTCTAACCTCCTTACCTCCCACACAGGCCTCTGCACATGTTACCCTCTGTACGTAGAATGCTCTCTGTCAAACTACCCACCCTTAGGATCTCCACTCATTCACTTATCCTTCAGAGAAGCCTTAATTCGGATCTGTCTGCTAAACATTTCCTTATTTAGTACTATGTACCTTCTAGATTCTTAGGCTATAAGTTTAGAGTATAGGTAAATAAATGTAAGTAAGTACAAATCTGTAACAGGTTTGTGATCATGTCACCACCATGCCCATTAGACTGGTCTGCTGAGAAGGCGATGTCTTTTTCATCTTTGAACCCAGAAGTGAATCAAGTCCAACTGATGTTCATTTGAACTAAATTTAAACCATTAAGCACAAGAAACCTTAAGAAAGGAAAATTTTTACCATTTTTACAGTGAAGATTTCCTCTGAGAACTTGATCTCCCATTAGATACTCAATTCAACAAAGAATATCCTAGGTTTCGTACAAGTGACCCATTAGAAATGATACGTTTAAATGGTTCAAAATATCTAAATGGTACATAACAAGCCACTGTTTATCCAGGACCTACTCACGGTACCTTATAATTATTCATCTTCAGAACAATTCCACAAGGTAGAGACAGTGTCCATTTTATAAATAAGGAAATGGAAACTCAGAATTAAATTACACCAGAGCTTGCCTGGAGTGAGGAAGCAGGAAAGCTGGGCTTTTACCCAGACTCTGACTCTAAAGCAAGCCTTTCCCCTACTCCAGTGAGGGTGAACCTATGGCATGCATGTTACAGCATGCTATTTGTATGATTGAAAGCTCTAAAAGGTTCACTACCACTGCCCTATACAATTCCCTACCTTGTGAACACATCCCAGATACTAAACATGCATCCTGACAGAGTCTAGACAACGAACACAACCTGACAAAATAATATACTTTTTGTTGTTGTTTTGTTTTGTTCTTGGTTTTTTGAGATAGAGTCTCACTATGTAGCCCAGTGGCCTTGAAATCTTGGCAATCCTCCTGCCTCAGCTTCCCAAGTGCTAAGATTACAGGCACATGCCACCACACTCATGGCCAAAATAACACATTTTAAAGGTCTAACCTTCAAGTGTCCTTCGCCTGTGAGGAATTCAGAGTAACCAGCATCAGTGGCCAGCAAACCTACAAACTGCATGCTGGGCCGCTGTTGTATAAAGGCTTCAACAGCTTTATCTGTCACATGCTTTCTCCCAGAAACATCCAGGGACACAAGGTTGGGTAGGATGTCCTTTTGTTCTAACAAGCGAAGAGCTATGTCTGATGTAAACTGTTTATCATCTGAGATATCAAGATGGTTCAGATGTCTGAGTTCCCGAACAACATCCAGGATCTGGGTAGTTGTCATTTTTAAACACTTCAAGTGGTGCATGGTTAGCGACTTGAGCCGGTCTCTGCAGGCCAGCAGAGCAGTGATGTCTGTGATCGAGGTGTTCGAGATATCCAGACTCTCCAATCTTGGCAGCGAGGCAACTTCAGCCAGGTCTTCATTGTAGAAGAGAACATTGGTGATGCTGAGAGCTCGAAGGCCGGAAAGCCGGCTGAAGCACCGCTCATAAGGATCTTCCAGAGAGAGAGTCAACGAGTTCAGCACCAAGCACTGGAGGTTCTGCTGGATCCACTTGTTGCTGCCGAGCCCACTGATAATGTCTGTGATGGTGATGTCAGCATTCACACCTGTGGCATCGAGCTCCACTAACTTGTGGTGGCAGAAGGCTTTCCGGAAAGCAACCGCAGAGATCTTTGCTTTGCGAATGCAAGCTCGCTTTAAGCGCATCTGATTGCCTCTAAAAATACCCACAGTTCCATCATTCAGCAGACCTGGGGAGACACAAGCAGCACTTTTACTCCAAGAAACAGTTAAAAGCCACTCAGCCGGCTCTGCTTCAGAGACTTCCTCAAGGCTTTCCCTGCTCTGGTCCGCCCTCCCATCACTGGCTCCTCTGGAATGTCCTCTCACACAAACACTACTTCTGCTTCAATGTTTTTACTATTGAAACACGTAAAAATTGTGAAAATTAAAGCAGTTTATTTCATTTTAAAAAAACAGTTAAAAGACAGCTAAAATGTCCACCATACTCGACATTTCCAGCGTGCTCCCATGCAACTGTATTTCAACTGGTAATTGTGCTTCAGGGAAATGAGGATACTGCTATTTCCCACAACTTATGAACAAATAAGCTGAGGTGTACAAAGGGGCTCTCCAAGATTACAGAGCTAACAAGAGGCCTGTAGTAGGCTGTACTGAACTCCACTAGCACTTGGCTCTCCCCATCTTACTGGACACACAGACAGCTCTACGTGCCAGCCCTCCCTCGAGTTCCAAGGGGATGTGCGCCCGTTCTTGCCACAGGCTGTGGGGTGAAGCACCTGGGAGCCAATGCATGATTTTCCATGCTATCTTCTTCTGCTATGGGCAAATGCGGGGTCTTCATACTCTAGAGAAGATAGCTTTATGAAGCAGGAGCCTCTACTAGTCGGGGTACTAAGGTGACGGTGAAACAGAACTGTCAATGGGCTTACGGAGTTTTGTATCATGAGTGAGGTTTAAACTTTGTGTTAAGGCATTTTCATTTGCTACCAATGCATTTCTAGCCTATACTTTAAGTTCACTACAACACATTGCTATATAAACAAATATATATTATATTCAGCATATATATAGTGCTTATAACTCATTATTAAACCACTAGCCAGATCTAAAACCTATTAAAAGGACCTAGGAGTTACAGCCCCTCTCTTTGAAATGAATGTAAGTAGGGCAGACACAACAAAAACTCTTTAGGAAGTTCCTAAGAGAAGTACCTGCCTACCAATCAAGAGTGCTACACATACTCTGGAGCCATACTGCAGCAGTATCACATCAACTAAACAATATCTGCTATGAAAGAAGCAACAGCCATGCTGGTAAAATGCAGCCTAAAAACAGTCTGGGGTAAATGAAAGCTGGGGCAGAATAAATAAAGACCTTGATGTCAAAAGACTACATCAAGTCGCCCCTCACCTAGCCCATCCTAAAGATGCAGACCAGGCGGTCAGTGAGCCACCCCCAATTAGGACTAAGGGGAAGACGACGTCCAACGTTTGTGAGGAGGGTGGGGTGGCATCCCCTGGCGCTGATGCAAGAGCCTGGTGTGGTGTTTGCAGCCAGGGCCTGGGGCTGACCTGGCTCACTTCCCATCCATGCCGAGCCCACTCAAGCTGAGCCATGCCCAGGGACAAGATGATTTTTAATGCTACCATGAGCAAGAAGAAAAAGCAGCAGCTCTCTACTTAGAAGAGGAAGGAAGAAGGGGATGCCCAGACAGAAGAAACCCAGCCCTCAGAAATAAAAGAAGTAGAGCCAGAACCAACTGAGGACAAAGATGTGGAAGCTGATGAAGAAGAAAATAGGAAGAAAGATGCTTCTGATGATCCAGATGACTTGAATTTCATGGGGTTTTGCTTGTCTCTTTGTTTGTTTTGAGATAGGGTCTCACTAGGTAGTGCAGGCTGGCCTTGAACTCATTATGTGTCCCAGGTCGGCCTCGAACTCATGGTGATCTTCCTGCCTCAGTCTCCCGAGTGTCAGCTGGGATTACAGGCGTGTGCCACCACGCACTCTGAATTTCTTTAATCAAAAGAAGAAAAAAAACCCCAAAATTTGGTATTGATGAAGCAGAAGAGTGCATAAAGGATCTTAAGATTGAAAGTGCTACCCAAGAGCCAGCTGGACCACAGGATGACTTTGATATTATGCCTGGGAATAAAAAGAAGAATGTCAAGTTCCCAGATGAGGATGAAATACTAGAAAAAGAAGAAGCTTTAGAAAATGAAGACAGCAAAAAAGACAAAGATCTCTCATTCAGTAAGCAGACAGGCCCTGCCTGGGCAGACTTGGAGAGACCACACATATGAAGAGCTACTGAATCAAGTTTTTAACATCATGAGGGAAAAGAATGCAGATATGGTTGCAGGAGAGAAAAGAAAATTTGTCATGAAATCTCCACAGGTCATCTGAGTAGGAACCAGGAAAACTTCTTTGTGAATTTTACAGATATCTGCAAACTATTACATCGTCAGCCCAAATACCACCTTGCATTTTTACTGGAAGAACTGAGTATATGTGGTTCTATAGATGGCAATAACCAACTTGTAATCAAAGGAAAATTCCAACAGAAACAGAAATGTCTCAAGAAGATATATCAAGGAATACGTCACTTATCACACATGCCGATCACCAGACACAATTCTGCAGAAGGACACACAGCTCTGTTTCTTACAGTGTGAAACTTGTCATTCTCAATGCTCTGTTGCCAGTATCAAAACTGGCTTCCAGGCTGCCACAGACAAACGAGCACAGCTCCGTGCCAAAGCTAACTTGCTAATCGCCACTGATTTTACAAAGTGTGTTTTGAGGAATTGGCTGGACAGGTTTACCATCAGCGTAGATGTATCACTGTATTAAAACAAGGTAGAAAAGCTGCCAAGTTCTTTGGCGAGTGGTTGGTTGATCTGAAATCCTTGCCAATGCTCAAGTTGTTGACATACTTCTTGCCTACTTTAACAGCTGTCAGAAAAATATGATGGGGTAAGGAGGTACTTTTTAAAAATCATTCATAGACTTCTGTAAAAGGCAAGATAGAAGTTATTGTAACAGTGAAAAAAATTAGAACTAAGGTTTTTTTTTTAAAGGGAATATTCTTCCCTAATGGATGTTAACAATTATCACTAGACAGCTACAAAAAAACTATAAAAACTAGCACAAGGGACAAAAATAAATAATTACATGCAAAGAAGCCCATTACGCATTTTAGAGCTGTGCTTTCTAATATAGTAGCCACTAAATGCACAGCTTTGAGCACTTGAATAGCTAGAATAAATTCAGGACCCTGCTTCCTGTACTGGAGATTGAACTTAGCGTCTTTCTTTTTTCTTTTTTTTTTTTGGTGCAAGACCTTGTAGTTGCCACACAGGCGCTTGTGCTGCTGAGCTATATATCCCCAGCCCCATCAATCCAGGGTCTTCACACTGAGCTACATCTCTGGCTTCTTTGTTTAGTCTCTATTTTGCAACAGGGTCTTGCTAAATTGCTCAGTTGCCCAAACTGGGCTCAAACTTCCAATCCTCCTGCCTCAGCCTCCTGGAATACTGGGATCACAGGCATGTACCACCACACCTGGCTCAAGGTAAGTTTTAAATGCAAAACATATACTGTTTTGTTTTCTTTTTTTGAGACAGGGTTTCACTATGTAATGCAGGCTGGCCCTGAACTCTTGGGCCATCTTCTTGCCTCAGCCTCCCCAGTGCTAGGATTACAGGGATGTACCACCACACCTGGCCACATACTGTGATTTTAAAAACACAGCACAACAAAAAAAGAATGTAAAATATCTCAATAACTTTGTATCAATAAAGTTGAAATGATACTAATTTATATGTATTGGCTTAAATAAGAATTACTAAAATGTGTTTTACCTGTGCATGCGTGTATGTGCACATGTACATGCACGGGTATGTGCTGCTAGGAATGGAACCTATGGCCTCAACCATGCTATGCAGGCACTTTTCCACTGAATTACACCCCTAGCCCTTGTTTTACTTTTTTAGTGTGGTCACCAGTAAATGTAAAACTATTTCTATTCAACAGTGCTATTCTAGAGATAGTCTTTTAACCTACCTAAACTCTATCTTGGGGTAAATTTCATGATAGGGTTCCATCCACTGAACAACTTTTTTTAATTGTTTTTTGAGTTGAGGTCTCACTGTGTAATTCAGGCTGATCTTGAACTCACTGCGTAGCCCAAGTTGGTCTCAAACTTGTGGTGATTTTCCTGCCTCAGCCTCCTAAGTGCTGAGATTACAGGGATACACCACCACACCCAATCAATGAACAACTTTTTTTCTTTTTGGTACCAGGAAGCAAACTCAGGACCTCATGATGCCAGGTAGGCAGGTAGGCGCTGCGCTACTGAGCTAAATCCTCAGCCTAAAACAACTTTTTAACAATTACTGTAGGTCAAGCAGTATTAACAAAAAAATAGTAGATACAAAATAGCAGTAGATACAAAAAATAAGATATGTCTCTATCCTGGATTTATAACTACACAGAGTAAAAAAGACACAACCAACCATAACAAAACAAGATGCATGGTATACCAGTGCCAAGTACAATGTACCATGAAAGCAGAGAAAGGAAGTAATCCATTACGAGTGGAGATCTGGAGCAGACTGGACAGAGGAGATAATGCTTGAATAAGACCTTGAAAGATGATAAAAGAATGCAAACATGGAGAAAGAAAGTAAAAGTAGCATCAAAGGGAAAATAGCATCAACAAAGTCGTACAGATGTGAAGGCACATCACATGGCTAGAAAACAGCAAGTAAAAAAGAGAGAGAGAGAGAAAGAAAACAGCAAGTAGTTCTATACTGCTTGAACATAAGGAAAGGAAAACCTGCAGTCATGCTTCCCTGACAAAGAAGAGAAGAAAAACACAGACAAAGATCTAGATGTGAGTGATAATGTGGTGCATTTCTCGGGATATAAGCATGCAAATGGGAAGACAAGGAATGGGGCTGGAAAGGTGAGCTGCGGCTAGAACACTATGAAAGGTAAATAAAACAGTCCAGCAGGGGACCTTGGGACCCAAGAAAAAACACAGTGGAATCCTGGGTGTTTTTCTGATCATGTATCCTACACTAAAGTTAAAGCTAGCGCCACAGAAAACACCAGTGAGCACAGACAAGCTCCAAAAACATCTGCTCACGCTAGCCAAAATACCAGGGAAGACACAGCCAGCAAGACAGGACATTTTTTGGACAGTAAGTGCTCTACCTTAGCTAAACATCAGGGGGGAAATCTGTGACCCCCAACTCCCATGTGCCAGCAAATGCCAAGGAAGCCTTGGTTTCCACCCTCACAAGGCTGTAACTGCCTGGACCTCCCTACAGGGAGGCTTTAGAGAAGGGTAAGGAGCCAGGACTTTCATCTATACCAGCTGTAAGACCCACCTTCACCCCTATGGTGTCAGTGGGTGCCATCTGAGGAGTCCCGACTTTGACATCCACCCAGCACTAAGGAAGCCCTCCACTCTCCCTGTCGGGGTATCATCAGAGAAAACCTAAGTCAGGACGTGCTCAGAAGTAATGAGATTACTCTCTCCCAACGTGGTGTCAGGGATGAGGAAGCGAAAACAATGTATGCATCGCCTCTCAGCTAGCGGTAGCACCGGAGTCCCAGTGGGAGCCAGAGCACCGACTCCTACAGAGCAGTATCTAAAACATTCAGGTCTCAAGCAAAATTACTCACCATACCAAGAACAGAATAAAAGATGTCAACTGAGGTAACAGAAATTTTTAAATTATTTGATGAAGATTTTAAAGCAGCCATGATGAAAATGCAAACATATTTTCAAAAGTCAGTGATTACAAACCTGGTTGAAACAAATGAAAACCAGAAAGCTTCAGCAAGGAAATGGAAAACATAAAGAAACATCCAATGAAAATTTTACAACTGAAAAATACAATAGTGCTTGGGCTCAAAACCAAATTGAGGGAACAGAAGAAGAAAAAAATCAGTGGCCTACAAGATAGAAGAAAGACCTGAATTTAGACAAAATACACTATCAGCCAGGCATGGTGGCACACACCTGAAATCCCAGCACTCAGGAGGCTGAGGCAGGAGGATCATTATGAGTTCGAGACCAGCCTGGACTACAAAGTGAGCTCAAGGCCCGCCTGAACTGCATATCAAGACCCTGTCTCAAGAAGGCAAAAAAATAAATAAATAAAATAGACAAAATACACTAGAACATCCTCCCCACCTCAAATACCTAAAGCTATGTGTCATTGGAATCCCCAAGGAAAGGAGAAAGAGGGTGGGTTTCAAGAAGTATTTAAAGTAGTAATGCCCAGAAACTTTCCAAATTTAGCAAAAGACAGACTATACATTGAGTATGATACATGAATGCCAAATAAAACAAACCCAAAGATATTCAAGCCAAAAACATGAAAACTAAAAACAGAAAAATACTGAAAGTAGCTGGAAAGAAATGAGACCTGTTCTACACAGAAAAAAACAATTTATTTTGAGACAGCCTTGTTAGGTTATCCAGGCTGACCTGAAACTTGGATCCTTCCACCTCAACCTTCCAAGTGACTGGGGTTGCGAGCTTGCGCTACTGTGCTTGGCTCTTTTTCTACTTTATTATGAAAACTTTTCCCAGAAAAATTTATGAAACAATGTTTCAAAACTGTAACCAGAATTGGCAACATGTTCTGTAGCACACTCTCAGCAGTACCACTCCGGACCGTTTGCAGTAACTCAGAATTGTTTTTTGGTAGGGAAAGCAGGTCATCACATCAGGGCAATACAAGTAGGGGCAGCAAGTTACTTCCCAGTTTCCTCAACAGAAGGCAGACTGAACAGAAGAGCTAGAAAATATATTTTGTCCGAGCATATAGCCTATCTAAAACATTATTCTGAAGGACAATTATTCAATTGCATTTACTTAAAAGGCACTTTGGTTATTTTATCCATATAAAGCATTTGCCAGAGTGCATAAAACATAGTAAGCATCCAATAAATGACAGCTGCTATTATTAGCTATCATTAACTATATTTCAAAAGAGTAATTGAATCTGGCAAAGTTAAAACTTTAGTTAACACTTTTATTTACTAGTATTTAAGTTGAATATGCTGAGCAAAATCATTAAATTCAGATTAGAAAGAAACATTACCACTAGCATAATCTCTTAAATTATTGTGTAGTTTTGGGGGGGACTTTAAAACATACATAGTACTTACTGAAATTTACCCTGGTTTCTATGGTGGATTGGAAAAATTAAAAAAGCTAATAGGGTTCAGCAAACAAGTGAAAACCAAGGAGTACAGAGGTCTTCTTTCCTAAATTACTAAAAAAACCCTCAGTTATAGCCATATTTTCCCCCACTCTTCCCTGGAACGTATTATCTGTACACATGCTTAACAGCGTTTTTCATATACATATAGAATCACAGCAAAAGTGAAAACCTTAGGTGGCACACAGGCAGGGTCGGCTCAACTGTAAGTGCAGGAAGGCTGTGTGGCACGGTGGGAAGCATGTACAACCATAAACAGACGGACCTACACCCAAACCATTCCCCAGCAGTGTGACTGGAAGGAAGTTACTGCTCTGAACCTCTGTTTCTGTATCTATCAATGGAGGAAATAGTAGCTCTATATGTAAAACACCTGACACAAAACAGGCACTCCGTAAATGGTAGCCATTATTATGGCCAAATTTTCATTCTATTTTATAGCTATGAACAGGTTATATTCCCAACTTATAAGAGTTTATAGGATATTACAAAGGTATCTCTAGGGGGCTGGGGATTTAGCTCAGCAGCACAGCCCCTGCCTGGCAAGCCCGAGGTCGTGAGTTTGATTCCTGGAACCGGAAAAAAAACAAAAAATTTTAAAATAAATAAATAAATAAATAAAGGTGTCTCAATTTTAAACACATAAAAATGAAAAAGACCCAATATACATTTCACAGATGATACTTCTTGATTTAGAATTTGTTTTTAAAAATGCCAGTATTAAGTTAGCCATGGTTTCCCATTTTAAAGGTCGAAGCAGGAACTGGTTTTTCTGTGACAGTATTAATTCCCCACTGTCAAATGAAGATAAGGATATTTTATTCCCAAAGATTTCTAAATAGATATTTTATAATTACATAAGTTATTTTTGACAAGAATGTCTTCTCAAGACAAAAAAAAAAGTTTGCTCAGATTAGAAAAGAAAAATGCTTTTCTAAATTACACAGTAAGAGGAAGGACAGATAAAAATAAATGAATTTCTTTTCCTGGAATCAAGTTCATCTGGTCTTTTCTGTTATCTCTAAGAAAATAATTAAACACCCAAAGCAGTACTTCAAAATCTAGTACCAATTAACTGCACATAATTCTTGTTCCCTGCTTTTTTTTTTTTGTCTTACCATGAACTGCCATGGTCTGAAGCAGTCGATCAGCCACCTCTTGTGGAAATACCCCCGGTTCCTGCAGACACAATGTTCCATCTTGCCTTGCTGAACAGAATTTCTCAAGGTGAGTGGTCAGGAAACTCAAGCAGATATCAAGTAAGGAATAAGGAGACGCCTCCTCCTTGGAGTCCAGGAAGAAACATGAAGGGAACACAAAAGGAGCAAGTCAGTTTCCAAAAAAGTAGAGAACAAAACATTGATTTACTCATCCAATAAGAACGTGATAGACAATGGCTACTGTTGGACAATGTTTCAGCCATGTTCCTATAAGGAAAAGAAGTACCAAAACAACACACATTTACACACAGTCTGTTAAGGACCGGTAATACAGGACAGACATACTATACTGGGTACCATTTAAGCAGGTAGGAGGCTCTCACCATCAGGAGTGGTGTCGGAAGATCTCAGAGGCACAGCAAATTAACCCTCCAGAACTATCACCCGTGATTCCCTCCTACTCAAACCTTCAATGGACTCCCCTGGGTTTGAGGACAAAAGACAAAATTCTGGGATAGATACACTGACTTCTTTATAAAATTTAATGCTAATTTACTTTTCACCTTAACCTCCCACAATGTGATTATTCAAATATCATAAATTTATTTGGGTAAAAGAATTTAGGGTAAGTGTTATGCTCAAAAAGAAAAAGTTTGGCCAGGCATGGAGGCACACCCCATAATCCCAGCACTTGGGAGGCTGAAGCAGGAGGATTGCAAGATCCTGTCTCAAAAGAAAAAAAAAAACAGGAAAAGAACAGGGTTAGCTACATTCGTGTTCAGTGCAAAGGCCCAGAGCTCATTCCCAAAAAAGAGAAGAGGGGAGGAGGGGGGAAGGAGGAAGTAGAGGCGCAAAACGGGAGAAGAAGGAAGGGTTTAACCTGGTCACTTCAGTGTAAAGAATAAGAAAATTAATAAATTGGCAATGATTTAAGGGCTTTCATTGTAAATACTTTAAATGTCTCTATTAACTGTCTATTGTGCTCTGTATAACCATGCTGAACATTTTATAAGAATTATCCATTATTTCATTTATTTCTCACCCTTAGTTTGAGAAGTAGTCAAATATTATCTTCATTTTCATATAACTGAAAACAGGCTCAGGAAAGTAGTATCTTTCTCACCCTTTTACATGCAATATACAGTAAGTAACAAAATGTGGCTTTAAAACAGTAGTTGATCCAGGAGCACAACAACTCTTCCTACATTACATAGCATATCTGACTGGTTTGTTTTTGTTTTGGGGTTTGGGTTTGGCTTTGCTTTTTTGAAACAGGCTCCTGCTATGTAGCCAGGCTGGCTCAATCTCGTAGAGCCTCTGAGTGCTGGATTACAGGCGTCCACCACCACTCCCGGCTGCATATGTGACATTTTAATGGTTGAATAATGTGTAGCCACTAAAAATTTTCATTTCTATATACTTATATTTATTTTTATTATACTATATTAATCACACAGAAAAATACTTAGAATACAAGGTTAAAAAATAATTTATCCAACTTCCTCAACCTGAGGAAGGCTATCTACCAAAAAGCCAGTTACTTAATGATAAAAGTCCTAATGTTTTCCCCTTAAAATCAGGAATGAGGCAAGGATGTCTGCTGTCACCACTTCTATTCAACGTTTTACTTCGTTTTCTAGCCAGGGCAACTGGGTAAGAAAATAAATAAATAAAAGGTATACAGGTTGGAAAGGAAGAAGTAAAACAAGGAAAAAGTAAAAAGGAAGAAGTCTGAGACACAGAAAATCCAAACAAGTTTTTAAAAAACTATCAGAGCTATTTTAAAAAATGAGTTCACAAGATTACATGTTACAAGATCTGCACTTTGGGGGCAGAATTTGATAAGCTGGTCTTAAAATGAATATGGAAATACAAGAGACCTAGGACAGCCAGTGAGAAAGAAGAACAAAGTTGGAGGACTAACACTCAAAATTACTACAAAAATACATTCATCAAATCAGTGTGAGCCAGGCATGACGGTGCACACCTATAATCCCAGCACTTAGGAGGCTGAGTCGGGAGGATCAA